TACCTGTGTGCACATACAATAAAATTTTGGCTACAGTTTGACTGATATAACAAATAAATGGTAAATAATGATTGAATATTATAGTTGGTTATGAGTAACTCTACACAGTCAAATATGCAGGTAGAGGTTGTGAGGTAACTGGCATTGTTTCATAATTACATTACATAATATCTGTTTGAAATTCTAGAGTAATAAAATGATTTTATTTTACCTGGGAGAAGATAATTTATGTTTTTTCAGTCCTAGCACAGTTTTCGATACCTTGTAAGTTTGTTAGTTTTTGTTTTGTTTTGAGACAGAGTCTTGCTCTGTCCCCTAGGCTGGAGTGCAGTGGTACAATCTCAGCTCACTGTAAACTCCGCCTCCCTGGTTCAAGTGATTCTCCCACCTCAGCCTCTCAAGTAGCTGGGATTATAGGCACCTGCTATCACACCTAGCTAAGTTTTGTATTTTTAGTAGAGGCGGGGTTTCACCATGTTGGCCAGGCTGGTCTTGAACTCCTGATCTCAGATGATCCGCCCCCTTCGACCTCCCAAAGCGTTGGGATTACAGGCGTGAGCCACCGCGCTCGGCCTACCTTGTAAGTTTTGAATAAATATTTGTTGTTGGAAGATGTGAAGTATTCATTTAAGAGAGAGAAACATGAAAGCTCGTTTGTACAAACTGATTATAGCATCCTATGTACACATATACACACAGCACACACACAAACACCCATACAAAAACAATTTTGAAGCTGTAAGCTTTACCTATCTGAGGTATTTCACTCATTGTATGGCTTAATGTCAAATGTAATATTGCATTATACTGTTAGATACATGGAATAAAAATTGCTCAACAAACATAGATTAATTAGTATCCTCAGTGTGAAAATACAATAGTGCCATTTGTTTCCCTCTATGGTGCATAGTGCAGTATTTATGCAATATGAAAAAGTTAACTGTTAGTATATATTAAAGCACCCTTCAAATAAAGAAAATCATAAGCCACATTCCATGATCATCTTAAAATTGAATTCTGTCTTTTGAAGAAAGCATCCTGAAATTTTAAAAATCTGTTTCTTTCTATGTGTGACCTGTTACCCCAATATGATCTAATTATTATCTCTAGTGTATTCAATTACTGAAAAATTAAAAGTTTTCAATACTTGAAAACATACAAATAACATGTGAAGTAAGTGAGATTTTTTCTCTACAAAAAACATGTCATATTTAAAAGCACTACTTTCAAGGCTTAAAAAAATCTTTAAGGTGTATAAAAGTATATAAACAAAATATAAATCAGTTTTACTCTAAAGGAGCATGTTCTCTCAATATATGTACATAAATATCATTTTTGAAAACTATAGTTTCTAGTAAATACCTACCACAATAATAGAATTTATTACTATGCTTAGGTTAAATCAGTTTTCTTCAAGGTGAGAAGCCTTTCAAAATGTTTTCTCTGGAATGAGTTTCCTTTATTAAGGGTTATTCAAATATTTTCTCAACGTGTTGTTTGTAAAACATAAATTGCTTCAACTCCTTCAGCTTATGAAATATTTGATGCTAGCATGCTTTTGTCTGAGATACTATTTTTTGTATGGGTATTTAAGGCATATGTTTATCATCCATTCTTTAAATATTCACTGAATGCCTACTGTGTACAAGCACTGGCTGTGAACCCGCCTATGTAGGTAAGATCTCAATGCACAGTAGGTAGGAGACAGAGCATTATACCAAAACAAAACGAATTCATTCATTGCAGAGTAGAAAGGAAAGTTAAGTGATTTTTAAGATTCTATTATTTATTTTAATAGACAATAAAAATTGTATATATTTACTGTGTGCAATATGATGTTTTAAAATGTGTAGGCATTGTGAAATAGCTAGATCGTGCTAATTAATATGCATTATCTCACCTACTTATAATTCTTCATGGTGAGGACACTTAAAATCTACTCTTTTCACAAATTTCAATAATATAATTCATTGTTATTAATTAAAGTCATGATGTTGTACAATAGATCTCTTAAACTCATTTCTTGTATCTAAGTGAAATTTTATATCTTGGACCAAATCTCTTCATCCCTCCCCCAAAGCCCCTGGTAACCACCGCTCTACTCTCTGCATCTTTGGGTTCAGCTTCCTATATTCTACATATAAGTGAGGTCACGTGGTATCTGTCTTTCCGTGCTTATCTCATTTCTCTTAACATAATGTCCCCCGGTTTATTCATGTTGACTCAAATGACAAGATTTCCTTCTTCTTGATTTTTATTTTTAAACTATAAATTGATAATTATGACTACATAAATTTATGATTACAAAGCAATGTTATGATTTATGAATATAATGTGGAATAATTAAATCAACTAGTTAACACACCTATCACCTCAAATACTTATTTTTTGTGGTGAGAACATTTGAAATTTACTCTCTTACTATGATTTTGAAATGTATAATACATTATTATTTATGATACCACATTGTGCAACATATCTCAAAGAGAAAACTGTTTCTTCTGCTTATCTACTTGATTTCCTTTGTTTTAAGGCTGAATTGTAGACCATTGTGTAAATGGACTACAATTTCTTTATCCATTCATCTGTAGATGAACATGAATTGATTTTATAAGTAATCCCTTGAATAAATAAAGGAACTACTCACAATAAATATCCCTTAAAAAGTCAAAAAAACTTGAGGGAATGATTTGACCACAAATGTAACAATAAGTGATAGCTACCTATATCTGGTCATTTAAAATGATTGGGAACTTTTAAAACATGAAGAACTGTATTTTATGTTTGTCTGAAGATACGAAGAAAACAGAAATATTTGAAATTATCATTTGCATTCACAGTGCCTAATACTGGTGTTCCCTTCTTTCAGAATGACTTTGGAGGGCACAGAAGTCTGGTGAATAAATGGACAACATTCCTCAAAGCTCGTTTGATTTGCTCAGTGCCAGGTCCAAATGGCATTGACACTCATTTTGATGAACTGCGTAAGAAGCTAGTGTTTATGTATAGAGAATATTTGTTCAGACTTTGCCATTCCATAAAAAAGCAACTTTCTCCAATTTTGTTTTTAAACAGAGGATGTATTCCTAATGAACTTTAAAGATCCTAAAAACCCAATTGTATATGGAGTGTTTACGACTTCCAGGTAAACAACTTTTTAACTACCTTATAGAAACTTCATGTTATTTAGGGGGTACCCAAGTACCCATAATTGGTGAAAGTATATTTTTGAAAGACAAGTGTTGCTTTAACCTTTGAGCTGTTGTGTATTCTTGGGTGACTGAAAGAAGTTATGATCTATGTAGATGTTTGTTTTTTAAATGAATTTTAGACAAAAAATCATCATTGTAATGATGTGAATGTGTTATGGTGAAACAGTTTGAAATGGTTATGTCATCTTATGCATAACTTCGACTTTAAACCTTGAATAAAATGTAAAATATTATAGAGATGGAAGTCTGAGGTTTGGGAAGAGTTTGTAGGGATACAAATTAAGGATGGAAAAATTAATTTAAATTTGTTGAAAATATGACGGAAACAATTCTCTGTCTCTTGATCTCTCTGTCACTTTAGTCAATTGCTAATGAATGAGGTAAGAGAAAAGCTCATCAGCAATTGCACTGAAAGTCCTATCTTTGGCCAGATGATTAGTATGGGAATCTGGGGACAAAATACATCTAGAAATGTCAAAACAGTTCATGGTTCTTCCCAGTATGTCTATTCCACAGATGGGATATTTGCTACGCTTTTCTTTGGTCTTTAAACCTTTAACCCTAGAACTAAACTACAAATGTATATGTTTGGAGAAAGTTGATTGTTTACAAAAAAAAAAATTTAAATTGCCTTTAGGTAATTAAAAAAATTATTAATACAATCATCACCTCTCAACCTTTAAGATCGTGTGAAAACTTAATACAGCAATTGAAGACCCTTTACGTAGTATAAATAGTTTTAAAACTTTTTAAGTCAGTAAATAGATTATCTTTGTAAAAAAATCTACTTTTTTTTTCTGAGACTCCATTTGGTTTTTTATTATCTACCTTGTAACCCAGATTTTAAAATAATCATGTAAAAAGACATAAAATAAACAAACAGAAACCTTCAGTATTACAGCACTAGGGTTACATTATAACCACATAAAATGACAATAAAAACAAACAAGAATCTTCAGCATTACAGCACATAATAAAAACAAACAAAAACCTTCAGTGTTGCAGCATGATTTTTTTATTATTATTTTTTATTTTTTGGAACCAGTGTCAAACTCAAACTTAATTTCCTTGTCCTTTTATCCCCTTTTATCCCTGCCCTGCTTTTCCTGCTCTTTCTCTACTGGCTCCTTCCCTTCTTCTTTCCCCTTCTGCTTCCTCTTTTTCTCTCTCTTCCTCTTGCCTCCTTCCCTCTTTCCTCACACTTCTCCTTTTCCTATTTTTCGTGGTCCCTAAGTCTCTTGCTGTCAATTAAGCAGAGATTATTTCCTTCCAGACTACTACATTCAGTATAAAGTTCACGTTATACTGTATGTGTATACATGTACATTTGAAAGAAATACATGTACATTTACATGCATATAAAGAAGGATCTGCATTGGGATGTGGACGAAATGTTAAAAGAAAAATAATTTAAAATCAAAAGTCAGAACAAGTACTGCAAGTAACTTTGATAGTAAAGAAAATGATTAACTGCAATGTCCAACACTGTTTTATTCTGTGACTATTAAAGCCACTACAAATTGCTTGGATGTTTTACTCAATAATTTTTGAAAATCACATAAAAATTAAGAAATCTGTATGTCTAAAACTATTCGAAGTTCTTCATACCTAAATAATATTTCTTCCCTTTGGAAAAAAAAAAAAAAACCAGAATGACTAAGCTATAGAACTTAAGAGACTCAAACAAATATTAATCCATTTCTTCTGGTTCCTCACTGCTTAGTGCAGTGGCTCAAATTTAAGTCTCTCCTAGAGAGCATGATAAAATTCAGATTCCTAGGCCTTGCCTCCAGAGTTTCTGACTCAATAGAGATTAAATGCGATCTAAGAATGCGCAGTTCACACAAGTACCCAGGTGATGCCCATGCTGTTTGCCACCTTCTGAGAGCTAGAGATAAAATAATTTCACCTCTTTATTTCAATAGAATGGATATTTGTATGTGAGTCTTAATAGCTACATATCATATTCCTTAAGTATTTCGATGATAGCTGATTTAATCAAAGATAAGCAAAGTAAAGAACAACGGAAAGGGGATATATAACCCAAACATTACACGGTGTGATGTATCAAGTATGCACTATTTGCTATTTGTTCTGCTATGAAAATGTTACCAAATTCTATAAGTATTTATTGAGGTTTACTCTCTGAAATGCCATATGATATATAATTCAGGTAGCCGAAAAGAAGCCAGGCATGGTCTCTTCCCTCATGAAGCTTGGAGTCTATGAAACGCTGTCTATATGCAGCAGTTTCCAATAATAAACTGTAGAGAGCACATGTTGTTCATTCGGTCTGATTTATATGTAATTTTCAAGGGGGAAAGTTTGGTTAAAAGATAAGCATTCCATATTTTAAATGTGCACAACTATTTAATATCTTTGTATAAATACATTACTCAAGCCACATTTCTATAAGCCTAATAAAATGGAAAATTGTGGCAATTCAGTGGCTTGCTTCCAGTTTACCTGATTTTTTGTTTAGCGAACAAAATTTTTGTTTAGTGAAATGATGAGTATAATTGCTGTAATTCTCCACTTTAATTGAGTGAAATAGGTACTAACATAATTATTTTCTGTGTTAGAAAGAGCTGATTTTAAGTGTCTTCACAAGAATCAACTTCCTACTTGATCTAATACTTTTGGGAATTTAAAAATAATATAATGTGACACATCATTTGACACTATTTTTTGTACTAGTTTCAGCCTACAAAGTGAGTTCTTAAACATTCTTGCTAATTTAAAAGTTTCCTGGGTTCTGTAATAATGCTTGAGACTTAATCTACATTTTTAAAAATTTCCCCATGATATTAAAATTACATATTCATTTATAGCTTATATGTATTTGTTTTTCCTATCAAAACCTAGTACTCTATGTTTCATATGAAGGCATATATTCTGAGTACTAAAGCCATTTTCAGCTATGCCTTCTATTTTTAAGAAATCACATTTTTTTTGTTCTTTTGTGTATTGTTAAATGCATATACGTGACTAGAAAAATCCTAAACATTATTGCTAACAATTTATATTTATATTTTAATAAATATCAAAAATGTAAGAACTCAGTATCAGTATTTCTCTTACCATTGTATAAAGATGAACATCTGTTTTTATTCTTGCTGTCTTGTTCAGTAACATTTTCAAGGGATCAGCCGTGTGTATGTATAGCATGAGTGATGTGAGAAGGGTGTTCCTCGGTCCATATGCCCACAGGGATGGACCCAACTATCAGTGGGTGCCTTATCAAGGAAGAGTCCCCTATCCACGGCCGGGAACTGTAAGTAGCTTAGGTGTTTATGAGATGAATATATTTCTGCCAAAGGCCAAAAAACAATGCAGTTACAGACAGATATTAAATGTATCCTGTAATGTAAAAAAAAAGATTTCAAGATTATAAATTAAAGCAAGACAAAGATTTTCCATGAGTGAATGAAATTTCACATTTAAAAACATGTTCTTTACAGATGTCTCTGCTTAAATCAGTGTAAGATATAAATCTAAAATTATTAAATCTTATTTTAATTTTTGATCACACATTTCTAAATTTTTGCAAACTATTTTTACATGGTAGTAGAGAAGTGCAGAAATAATTTTCAATCTCATGAAAATACACTTTATCATATCTTCCAGGTTTTTACATAAATGTTTGATATTTCTATAACCTTAATTTTATAATTTACATACAAAACAAGAAATACAACCTCACATTCCTTAACTGTTATATTGTTGTACTATTGTGCATGTATATACACATACATAGACATATATATGTGTGTATTTATATACACTCCTCCCATTTCAAAACATATTCATTTTCTTTCTCATGAATTATTAATATTTTTCAAGCTAGTGGCAAAGACAATTGATTTCTCATTCTAAGCTTCTTGTAAGATCAAGAATCTCTCATAATTACATTTTAGCTCCCAAGCTTTTACATTAAATGGTAGAAATTACTTAAGTGTAAGACTAAAAGCAAGAGATTGGAGCTATTGTACTCTATAAATGCTTGCACTGCATCAGTAACTATAGTGAAAGGAGGTGGTGAAATCTTAATTTGTCATTTTTGTTGTATTGTCTTACACAGAGTGTTTACATCCAGAGGTGAGGTTATGCCAGTGCAAAACCAGCATCTTTCTGGCTGCTGGGGCCATTTTCTCTTCTGTTTGGTCATGACGTGCATTCTGATTGGTCACTTTTTGTGCAATACGGGTTGTTAAACACTTTGAATAACACTTTTCCTTATCACTGGGATTATTTTACTTATTACATTTCTCAATGGTACATTTTTAGCATTATGTTAGAAACAAAACAATAAAGAATAGTTAATATTGTTTTTCAGTTTGAAAGGAGAATTTGTATTTTAACATGATGCCATAGTAAAAAGTTAAACGTATTCAATAAAATTATTCTGAGCATCTCTAATTCAAAGTAAATTGCATTTACTTGTAGTATATTCCATTCATTATGTCACACACTTCACCTATTTCACTAATAACACTCATGCTTGTGGCACTAATAGAGGCACCAAACTTCTCCTGTACACTGAATTCATTACATACATTCGTAATTTTGCCTAAGAATTAGTGACGTAACTAAATCTCACTGAGAATTAAGATATATTTGGGAAATATATACTATATATTGCACTACTCTTTTCCTTTATTTTATTTTTGAGCCAGATTCTTGTTCTGTTGCTTAGGCTGCAGTGCAATGGTATGATCTCAGTTCACTGCAACTTCTGCCTCCCAGGTTCAAGCAATTCTCCTGCCTCAGCTTCCCAAGTAGCTGGGACTACAGGCATGTACCATCACACCCAGCTGATTTTTGTATTTTTAGTGGAAATGGGGTTTCACCATGTTGGGCTAGGCTGGTCTGGAACTCCTGGCCTCAAGTGATCCACCCGCCTTGGCCTCCCAGAGTGCTAAGATTACAGGTGTGAGTTATCATACCTGGCCTAAACTGCTATTTTAAGTAGAACCATTGAGGCCATGTGTTATTATATGACGTACAGTTATGTTTATTAGATTTTTAATCAAAAGATACTGTTCTCTTTATCATAATAGTGTCCCAGCAAAACATTTGGTGGTTTTGATTCTACAAAGGACCTTCCTGATGATGTCATAACCTTTGCAAGAAGTCATCCAGCCATGTACAATCCAGTGTTTCCTATAAACAATCGCCCGATAATGATCAAAACGGATGTAAATTATCAATTTACACAAATTGTAGTAGACCGAGTGGATGCAGAAGATGGACAGTATGACGTTATGTTTATCGGAACAGGTAAATTTTTAAATTTCAACTGTAAACTTTTTTCCAGAACACTATGTTTAACCGATTAAGTCAAGTTGATCTTTGAACATCACAGGCGTTGGGGTGCCAACTCTCTGTGCAATTGAAAATCCACATATAACTTTTGATTTCCCCAAAACTTAACTACTAATGGCCTACTGTTGACTGGAAGCCTTACCTATAACATAAACAGTTGATTAGCTTCACATATTGTATGTCATATGTATTAGATATTGTATTCCTACAATAAAATAAGCTAGAGAAAAGGAAGTGTTCTGAAAATTATAGGGAAGAGAAAATATATTTAATATTCCTTAAGTGGAATTGGATCGCCGTTGTCTTCCTGTTGAGTAGGTTAAAGAGAAGGTAGAGTAAGAGTTGGCATTGCTCTCCCAAGGGTGGTAGGAGCAGATGAAAATTTGTATATAAGTGGACCCACACAGTTCAAACCCACGTTGTTCAATGTTCAAATGTATACTAAGAACTGAGGCCAGTTTCTATAGTTACTTTCAAGGTATAATTCACCTTTAATAAATGAGTAAATAACGTGAATATTCTTTCATTACAAATTTATTATCTTTTCAGACAAGCTGAGATATACTAATTTAAAATAAATTCCCTTTTCAGTGAAAAGTTGGTAAGTTTAATCAGGTAAAGCTAATGATTAGGTAAGCAATCAATATTTATAATTGCATCATAACTTTTCTGGCCAGTGGCTTTTTAGAACAAAGATATATTACTCAAGTCCTGCCTTAAATTCCCAAGACATTCAATAATAGTTCCAGAATATTAGTGCAAAATTATCTGAACTTTAAAATTACAATAATGTGAACATCGTCTAGTAAATAAATGTTAGCAATAAATTTTTTTCAGTGTTTCTGCCATACAATGAAAAGAAAAAACAATTCATTAGAAAAACAGCATAATTGATTCAAATAATTCTTAGATACATTTCTATGGACATTTAACAATTCATTTTACTAATTCCATAATTAGAAACAGACTTTTTCAGGTATATTTTAAGAATGAATTCCATTGTTATTATGATATATTATTTTATTTTGTTCCCTGCTCTTTTTAATAGTAATATTATTTTTGAAAGTCCTAGTTACAAATCTGATACTTGCTACTTAGGGTCAGATTCCAAGGTAATAAATTTCTAGTCTCCATTAACGCTGTTAACTGACATAAATCAATGGGGAACAGAGTGAGTGCTCCACTGAAACCTTGTATAATAACATTTATTTTCCCTTAGTGAGAAACAGAAAAAAAAAAATTGCATTAACTACAGGGGAATGGCAACCATATAGTAAGTGCTTTAAAGACTTAAAGTTTTATAACAAAATTGTGAAATACTTATGTTATCAGGTGTAACAGTGTCAGGTTCTGAGCAATACATTAAAGTCCATTTTTATGAGTGAGAAAGTTTCTCTACCAAATAAAAGAATCTCAAGCAGACACAGGGTTTCATAAAAGTCAATGAATTGCAAGTATCAATTTCTGGTTATAAATATCCTTAGAACATATAAGAAATAGTATTTCTCTCAGATAAATATTAGTTTATCATTCAACATCAAATTATAATTTCTTTTCTTTTCAGAGTAATTAAGTTTGTTCAGTCATGTCACACTTGCCTTTTCCTTCACCTCTGGCTTAAATGTATTGAGAAGTCTCTCACTGTCAAAGCAACAAAGCTTGCTTCCGGGTATTTGACCAAATAAACCTAATCATGAGCTTTTAATTCCTCTTGGACGCAACGTGTCTTTAAAGGCACCAATTTCATGAGTGTGTTGACTGTCTGATGATGTGGATGTCTATCGGTCAATACAGACCAGGGTCATCTGTCAGTAAAGTAAACTGATTACAGTAATTTTATCTTTTAACTAAGTTGCACATCATAGTATATTGATCCTAGTTGAGTAATCTGATTCAATTTGTGTGAAATTGTTTGAAATACTACTCAGTAAAACTTGATCTGGAAAAGAGATAAAGCTGTGTTTGGGTACCAGAGACCCGATCAGAGGCACTGAGTAGATTAACCTAATTTACCTTTAATCTTTAGTGTTATGAGTAGCCTAAGGTCCTGTAAATATAGAAGGATCTTCTTAAAAGTGTACTTTTTTCTGGTTTAACTTTACAAGGGATAAATTAGCAACCTTTCTTGATCTCATATAACATATCGTGTTGGTTCTCTAAAAATAGTTATCAATGAATTATTTTTCTCATATAATTTATTCTTCGTTGACAAGATTTTCTTCACAATTACTTTGTTGAACTTGATTAAAAGGAACCAATTGAGGCCAACTAGATTTGATCAAGTTTAGTCAGAACTAGAAGGTTGAAGAGTACAATTTTTGAATTTAATAAGCCCCTGTTCCTCATTCCATCAAGGAACAGGAACATACTTGTAATACTGGAAAATTAATAACTTTTCAGCCCAACTTAAAATAAAAGTGACAACCCTTGTTATTAAAACAAGTTGTCTCCTTCAAAAATGCAAATTAGAAAAACAAATAAGGTTTGAAATCTCTATAAAATGTGTTCAATATTTTTATGCTTTTGGCTTCTGAATGTTAAATTTCCTTAATGCTCTAAAATGGAATAACCAAAGTGTGCATTTTTGAAAGACCACAGCAATAAGTAATCCTAGGTGTTTACTTTGAGAAATCGGGTTATTGTCATTCATCACATAATGGCCATTGAGCCATCATTAGGAACTTCTAAGTACTAAAGACTTTTAGATGACAAGATGAGCAACCAGGGCTCTGAAGCTCTGACTACTTCCCTTGCTTGACAACATTCCTTGCATTTTTCATTTATATTGAGTCTTCATAGTAGGACTCTGATTTTGTAATAAAAGTGGAAGAACCTGTCATGACAAACTGATATTATTTTTAGGTTTTGTTTCTGAGACACCAGGCAATTAAGGAGATATTTTTAGAAATATTGAAAAGAATTGATCCAACCCAGGCAATCTCTGTAATAATTATTATATTTTTAAAAATGTATGCAGTCTCATGATAAAACCTTCTTCAAGGCTTAACATATTTCTAAAAATTCAGTCTTTTATATTCCAAGTTTGTCTTTATAGTTTACACTTATACTTTGTCTAACTGCAAGAAATGCATTCGAATATGTATTTTACTCGTGTTTTGACCAAAAAATAAATTAAAAGGAAGACTGATATCAAAGGTTCTTTGTCTGACAAATACATATTTCATTCATTAACACTAAACTCTGTTCAGATCTACTTAACTTGTGGTCTTCTCCCCTCTTTCTTTCAAAGATGTTGGGACCGTCCTTAAAGTAGTTTCAATTCCTAAGGAGACGTGGCATGATTTAGAAGAGGTTCTGCTGGAAGAAATGACAGTTTTTCGGGTGAGTGCTGCTTAATTTCAAGTGTCAACAAGTTCAGTTGTACGTCTTTCCCCCAGGACAGCTGCACACCGAACTTGGTATGGACAAGTAGTCTAGCATACATACCCTTCTAATTAGCTTGTCAATTAGAAAACCAGACACTAGTCAAAATAAACCTTGAAACTTTCAATGCTGGTTAAATCTAAAGATGTAAAGAAATATATTTTTGGCTCATATTTTGTTTTCTCAATGATAAAATATATTATTTACATTTTATATTATTTATGTAAGTTACCTCAATGAACAAACTCTTCCCCACTCCTAAAATCTATTTTACACATGATAGTATAACTGAAATGATATGTAACTTCTATGAATGTACTAAAGGAAATACATTCAGAATGACAGAATAGTGAAGACATTTTAATCAATTTTTAGCTTATGTATGAATTATTTTATATTTTCTTAAAGAAATCATTTGTTAGCAAAAGAAAATTTGAGAGGTCTATATCACTGACAGTAAATTTGTTATAGATTCCTAGTCTACACGCTTAAGAAACGTACAGATATTAGTCCCATTATCCTGAATCACAGACAGCCCAGGGGAGTTGTATAGGGTTGGAGGAATGGGGGTACAGGTGAGAGGGGTGTTGGGTGGGTGAAGGGAAAGAGGAGAACTGGAGTAGTCTAACATATACCACATGTCTGTTTTTCCTTTTGGGAAGTCAGCTAATAGAAATAGTTTAAATTGAAGCACACCTTGAGATGATTAATGACATATGATGGAAAAATATATGCCTGTAAATGTGTTATTTGAATTTTTTGATAAAAGAATAGAGCAAACATCTATTGAGACATTTATAACTGCAAACAAACAAACAAACAAACAACAACAACAAAAAAAACACCAAAACCGTGTATTAGAAGAAGTTGGTAGACAGAAAAATGAGAAAATATTGCATCTAGTCTGACAACTTCAAGTGATCTCATTTAGTCTTCAGGTGTCTGTGGTAGTTTACCTATGAAATGAATGGGCTTGATTAAAATTTTCAGTTGATTCAATATTTTAATGGTAAGCAGTTTTCCCAAGATGTCTTACCCCAATACTTTCATACCTATATACAATAAGTTATTCTTCCCTCTTCAGTAGTATTTTAAAGAAAAAATGAAGTATAATATGGAAAGCTTCTAATACATAGTCATTCAACTGGCATTATAATTAACATTGAAACATATAACTGGTGAATTGTAACATAGATGTTTTATGATAACAAGCTACACAATGTTCTACTGGAAAGGGTTTAGACTCTACACTCATATCTACATGACAAATCCATTTGGAACACTTAAACCATTCCTCTGAACTTCACCATCAGTAAAACAGTGAGCATAATACCTATTTCACCAGGACACTGGAAGACTTAGAAACATTGTAAGTCATGCATCAAAGACAATAACAGGCACTTGGCTCAAAATGTCATTGCTAATATAATTTTATTATTTTAGTTTAGCTAAACTGAAAATGAGCTACATTCCCAGTAGCCTTTCCTACTAATTCTTGGTTTAAGTCTTCAAAATAATAAAATAATCATAATTCTATTATGATTTTTACAATCAGGCACATTAGCCTTATTTATTTATAATAATTTGTATGCTAAAGTATCAAAGTGATCTAATTTATCAGTTCGGTATAGAATGATGACTAATCCTTATCAATCACCATGTCCCATAGGTTACCCCAAGGAACAAACACATTGGTACTTTATCTTAGAAATTAAAAACAACAACAGCTAACAACTATCCAAATGGACTCTGTTTGGCCACTATAGAGTATGTTTAGATTTAGAAAACTATACGGGCACTCAGGGATGGATATATAAATTGCTGTCTTGTCTTTATTGTTACATCTCCAAAACCTAAAATGTCTTTTAAACCAACATGTATTAAATGAGTGAATTAATTAGTATTGATGAAAAAATGAAATACAAGAAATTAAAGAATTTAAGGCCTTCTTCAAGGAGACGATGCTTAAAGTGAGGTGCCCAAGTATGAGAAAAATAAACTAGGAACAGTCACAAGTTATCCTGATTCTGCACCATATTATTCTCCAGTAGAAAACCTTTACCAACATATCTTTGGAGACGAATTTTGCCACTACTATTGCAAATGAAGTTACAGGAGACACTAAAATATGGTTATCTTAAGAATTTCTAATTTCCAGAATCTCTTACTTTTGCATTTGTCATGGTTCATTTGCATATTTCCTTTCAGTTATAATACATTTTTAAAATAGGGTTCATTAACTAATTTCTACTGTAAATAAATGTATATTAGTAGATATGATGGGACTGGCACAATGCTAAATTCTGATGATACAGAGATGAACACTATAAAAGTGGTCTCTGACTTCATGCAGCTCAAAGACTATGATGTGTTATCAATCTCAGTTTCTAGGACTTACTTTTCTACCTATTAATGCAATTACATTTTATTTTGTAAAATTGTATCATATCACAACATTGTAAAAATAAGGTTATTTTTTATTATTTAATTATTTTCTGATATTATGAATTAGAATGTGCATAATTTTGCAGTGATATTGTATCTTAGTGAATTTTTATTATTTATATCTCCAGGGATTTTAAGTTTATATTTCACATCTTGGCTATGTTGTTTAGTACATTAATAAGAATTTTAATTTAAAAAGGTGTTAATTTAAACTGACCTACTAAATGACTTTTAACAAAATTATGAAAATTATGAGATGTTGGAAATCAACAATCTTGCGAGTATAGTCATGCACTGCATAACAAAATTATGGACAAGAATAAATCCCACATATGACAGTGGTCCCATAAGATTATAATGGGCCTAAAATTTCCTATTGCCTAGCATTTTCAATAGTTTACTTTCTGTTGTTATTTTACATTGTACTCCTTCTACTTATAAAAAATTAATTATAAAACATCCTCAGGCAGATCGTTCTGGAGGTATTCCAGAAGGTAGCATTGTTATTGTAGGAGATAATGTGTTATCTCCTATAATATAGAGATATCAAATATATGTGCTATTGACCCTGAGGTCCTTCCAGTAGAACAAGATATGGAGGTGAAAGACAGAGATATAGATAGATGATCCTTACCCTGTGTAGGCCTAGGCTAGTGTATGTGTTTATGTCTTCATTTTTAACAAAAGGAGTTTAAAAAGTAAAATAATAATAACAAATTTTAAATACAATAATAGTTCATAGAACAAGAATATAAGGAAAGAAAACATGTTGGGACAGGTGTCTAATATGTGTTTTAAGCTACGTGTTTTTACAAAAGAGTCAAAAAATTTTAAAAATTCAATAGTTTATATTGTAAAAAATTTACAGAAAGCTAAGATTAATGTATTACTGAAGAAAGAAAAATGGTGACTACAAAGTCTATAGTGGTGTATAGCAATGTCCTAGGCCTTCACATTCACTCACCACTCACTGACTGACTTGACCAAAGCAACTGCCAGTCCTGCAAGCTCCATTCATGATAAATACCCTACACAGGTCTACCATTTTAAAATCTTTTCGACCATACATTTATTGTACCTTTTCTATGTTTAGATACACAAATACTTACTATTGTATTATGATTGCCTAAAATATTCAGTACAGTAGCATGCTATACAGGTTTGTATCCTAGGAGCAACAGACTGTATCATCTAGCCTAGGTAGTAGGTAAGTGTACTTTATGATTTTTCACACAATGACAAAAATCACGTAATGATGTGTTTCTCAGAATGTATCTCTGTCATCAACCCATACATGATGGTACGAGTATTTAATATCTATTAGTTTTTTTTTTTTAGCTTTTTGCAGTTTCCAGAGAAATACATAACCGACTTATACCTTTGATAGCTATTAGATGACATTTGTGTAGCATTTAAGATATCATGCAGTGGCTCACGTCTGTAATTCCAGCACTTTGGGAGGCCGAGGTGGGCAAATCACGATGTCAGAAGTTCCAGACAAACCTGGCCAGGATGGTGAAACCCCATCGCTACTAAAAATGCAAAAAATCGTCTGAGTGTAGTGGCGGGTGCCTGTAATTCCAGCTCCTCAGGAGACTGAGGAACAATAATCGTTTGAACCTGGGAGATGGAGGTTGCAGTGAGCCAAGATTGCACCACTGCACTCCAGCACTGGTGATGGAGTGAGATTCCATCTCAAAGAAAAAAAAAATGTTTCATTATTATCAATCTGTAACAATTAAATGCAAATTAATACTATTGTGCTGGCATGGAAATGCTTTTTTCGGACTTTACAATTTTGGAAAAAGATTGTGCGTGAACAATATTCCTTTGATAGAAAACCATTTCAGTTCTCTTCTATAGTCTCTGCTATGCATTATTGTCATTATTATTTCTTTGGCACTCAAGTAGACAAAACATATTTGGGCAGAGTTTAGAGAAATATTTACTTTCAACATTCTATTCTATCAGGCAAAGTTCATACATATATTGTGGTCTAGCAATTGGAATATTTCACTGTCAAACTTTGTTTAATTTTACAGTGGGAAGGAAGAAAAACCCCACAACACATTAAAGCCATAGCTATATACAGTGAAATAAGCAGACAAATTTTACTGTTTCTTTGTTTCTATTTGAACCATGTAAGGCAATCCATTTAAAATAAAATACTATAAAAAAGGTCAGGGATTATTTGACAAGGTAAATAGAAAAGTTAAAGATTTAGGGTAGTGGTAGTATCTGATATTCTTGGATTTTATTAAAGACATTTAATGATACCCAACCAGTTAATTTTACCATATTATCATCTTCACGAGACCATGTTCATTACGTGTTCTTGACAGAATGAATAACCAAACCTCATATAAATACATGAATTAAAACCAGTACTACACCCATTCCCATTTTTGAGGTTGGTTTCAGGAAAACACCCTGACTAATCATACATATTCCAGTGGTTTCAGTTAAATCCAATATACTTTTATTTGGGGTGAAATCAAATCTCGATCAGAGTA